CCCCCCCCAATCCCCATTGGTGCTTTTCTTATGTTTTTTTAGTATCTCTACTATTTAGCATCCCTCTTTTTGAAACCAAAAAAGGGAAGGGGTCAAATTTGCCCTTATACTTTGCAAAATTGTCTAGATATTTCCTCCATTAATTGTTGGGGTCAATAATGCCTCGCCGTTACAGCACTAGCCCATAGCCCCATATATACCTTTATTTGTCAACTCAGCAAATGGACACAATAAAATATAATAAATCCATATAAATAAAAGAAAAAAAGGATTATTACTGCTCAAGTCCTTCGTGGGCAACAATATTGTAAAACATGTCCCGCCGCAAGCCCTTATCCGATGAATGATGCTGGCCAGAGCTCTGTTGGCGAAGGAAGAACGACTCAAATTACACCATCGCCATTGAGTATAAAGGTCCTCCCCTACGATTATTCTGTTCCTAAAGTTGATCCGCTGATTTCCGGATTACCCTCCCCAAAAATCTTCACCTCTCATCTCAGTCTTTCTTTACTAGGGAGTAGAGGTCTTCGGAAAACTTTTTTGATGACCTTTTGGGCTCCCTATTTTTCACCTTTTGGCTCTCTTTTTCTCTAACAAGGCCATATACGACACCTTGGCTTTTTCATGGTGAAGGGGATGAAGATAATGATGGCCTTTGGAGGAGATGATGTTGCAAGGTGAAGGTTAGTATTCAGATTAGTAGGTGTAGGAGGAAGAATCTGTGTTCCTCTTTCTTCTTTTTTCCTTTTATTTTCTTTTTAAATTTTTTTTCTATTTTCCTTTTATTTATGGGTTTTACTATATTTTATTGATTCCATTTGCTAAGTTGGGCAATATGGGTAAATATGGACCAATTTTGTAATGTCGAAGGCATGATTGACCCCAACTATTAATGAATGGCATATCTAGACCATTTTGCAAAGTACAAGGAACATTTGACCCTTTTCCCAAAAAGAAAGCAAAATATGAAAATGAAGTTTCCTTTTTTTTTTGATAATCGAGAAATCTTAAAAGGACACACATGCAAAACATGAATCAATAGGACACCAGTTCTTCTTTAGTGGTTATTGGTCAAAGATAACATCGGAAAAGGACACACATGCAAAACATGAATCAATAGGAAGTAAGAACAATATGATAAATGGGTCTAAAACCTATTAACCCTATTTGACTAAATGAACCAACACCTGGTACCACATAATATAACATGTTCTCAAGTTGACAAATTCAACATTTCACAAATATCGCTATAAGTTGTCCATTACACTTGATAAAACGCAAAACTTCTAAAACAAGCCTCGGAATCAGGTACAAATTAAACCCTAAGTGACTAATCAGCTGGTAACTTGGTAGCCAAACTCATTAGCCATCCTTGACTATCAGCATAAATTCATTAGTAACTAGTAAAGAACTAATCTAGCACAAAAGTAAAAATTTCCATTCCCCGGACAGCACCACCGTTTCTCCTCTGGACATTCATAAGTTACAAAATATAAACATCCAAAAAGATTTTCATATATCTTCTGCTAATTTGATCAAGGAGAGCAAAGCGCTGTTGTTAACAATTACAATTCCATTTCAAATTTGTTCAAACAACAAAATCAACACCAAGGACTTTTAGATAGGAGAATTTTAGCAGCTTTTCATATGTTGTCCTTATATGCTTGAGCGCTTGAAGCTTTTGAGGTTCATAGTACAAATGAACTCTCAATTTTCAAAGCATCGAACGTTACTCTGACCCTTCTACAATCTCAAATGTTTTTATTCAACAATGAAGTCAGGTAACTTTTAATCAGATATCACTCAGAAGCAAATGCTGAGGATTCCTGTTGTTGACAGTTATCAACTTCCGTGCCTATTATCACATTTCAGGTTAATATTCTAAGAGAAAAGCTTAGGTCAAGTCTTTGAAAGAATGTTGGAAGACATTAAACGAACAATTAATTTTCAACTGTGCTAATGCTGTTCAGGATGTGCATATCCAATGCGCTTCAACAATAACAAACCTAGTGAAATCCCACAAGTAGGTTCCGATGAGCTTATCTCATAGTTTTCAAATGTCATTTGATGCCCATAGGCAATGAGTTCCATAGGAAATGAATAACTGCTCCCCACTCTTCCCCGTTCCTCTATCTTTTCCTTGGCCAATACTCAAGAAGGTATATGAAAACAAATGGCTGGCGTGCTGGGAAATAATTACTCGCCGAATTAGATACAACTTCATATCAAAATGAAAGTTTGTTCAAGGATTCTATCAATACGGCTGCAGAACATATAGAAATGATTACTCGGTGACCAAGAATTTTGCCAGCAAAGACTCGTGACTTCATCTGCAAGAGATGACTTTGACTCCACGTAATTACTTGCTACCCAATCTTGTTGAGAAATACTCTTTAGTCTCTAAAATATCTGAATTACAGAAAATAAGAAAAATTAGACAATTGTCCTCTTTCTTCAGAGGCGTATGTATGTATTGGAGCATGGGGTACATGCACCCATGCTCCTCTCTCTATACTATATATATTTATTTTATATTTTTTAAAATATGCTTAAATATACGTGTGTGCATCCAAGCTCAAGAATTTCATAGTGCAATAAATATTTAGGGCACCTTCTTGTGTTAGATGTTCTCGGTTTGTAGGCATGTCTAGTGTCCTTTCTTGTGTTTTAATTAAGTCTTTTTTTCTTCTTCTTTTTCCTTCTTTTTTTGTTTGATTTTTTCATTCAAAATTTCCAAATCTAACACATTGAAATCCATTATTTCCTTTTTGTCATCACAAAAATTTATATAATTAAAAGTAATAGCAGTGGATGATGTAGCATAATACAATGATCCTAATATTTTTGATACAAATATATATATATACACACACACACACATGTTACAAATCACTAAAATTATAAGAAAAAAATTTTAATTTTAATTTATAATTTCTAAATGGTAATGAATTCACAGTAAAAACTTGAAGCTTAAATCCGTCAAATATAAATTTTAGATTCACCTCTTTTTAATTGTGCACACATCTCCTTGAAATCCTAAATTCACCTCTGCCTTTCTTCATCCCATACCAGGTTCATATACATTGAAATGGCATTGGAATACACTGGGGTCTGGGAACGTTCAAAACTGAACTTGGTGTACCAATGAAATAGCTGGAGTTGGTGAAAATTATATCCATGAACAAACTGCTCTATACTAAATGAGATTCTACTATATTTTCACAATAGTTTATCTATCTCATCATTCAGTATATATAAAAAAGGGTTAAACTTTCCTCTCCAAAGAGAGATCATGACATAAACCTCTACCTCAAGTGTTCTCTACAGCACCGATTCTATTACCAGAACATACCATCAATTCAAATCCCTATTCCTCAGAGTAATTTGGTTGGGATACTAACTCCCGATGCTCCTCCTGCCAAATGCTTCTCTTGATTTCCAACAACATCGTCCAAGTAGTCATCTCCGCAGCCTCTATTCTAGCCTATTCATCCTTCACAGGCGACAGGCCTACCTATCGACTACCAATGGCAACTTACTTCTCAACTTTCTTGTTGGCTTGTTCTTTTCTGAAATTGGTTCACCAAATGAGGACAAGTGGGTTTACAGTCTAAGTAATTTTAGGAAAAGTTTGAGAGCAAAATATTCACTGTACAAGTACAAAAACAAATGTCTATATGCGCAAGTATTAAGAAATGAAAATCTCGGTTAACAGAGGAATCGGTCAACTATCAAGTCACCGACAGAATTAGTAATACCAATGAAATGTCAGAATCAGAATTCAATTCTGGAGTCAATCCACCATACCAAACGAGCTGTAAGATTTTAAGGCAGTAATTCGATAAGAGAATTTAAGTGGAAGAGCTATGGAAGATTGGATTTGGTTTCAGGTGATAAATACAGGTCAAAGCTTAAGCCAGCTCAACTATTCACAGTCTATTGAAGTTTGGACACCTATATAAGGGCAGAGATTATTAGAGTGGCACAGTAAAAATAGTTGTTACAGAATAATTAGTGAGCTGTAAATATATTACTTTCCATAGATAGGTGCTAAGTTGCTCGGACACGGGTGCGGGTGTCCAATACGGGTGCGGATCTAGAGGTCGAATCCTTTGAAATGTAACTTCTAAGATTCGGGTTTGCAGATCCTAGTATGGATACAGGTGCGGGGATCCGGCTAAAAATAATTCAAAAAAAGTATATATATATATAAATTATGAGAAATTTTGTGGAATACTTGCGTATAGCTTGTAAAATGCGGATTTTTTTTTATTCTCAAGTTGTAGATAAGTAAATGATTGATTTCCTAGATAAAATGTGCTATTTTCTTCAAATTTCCCCTAGTTTTAGTTCTGATTTCCGAAATTAAATTGTATATCATCTCGAATTTTCCGTCTGCGGCACCTCAACTGCAGTGTCGGAGCAACTTAGGATAGGTGAGTCAATTGTAGGAGAAGATTCTTAGGATATTTTCATTTACTTGGTTTGATTAGTTTCCTTTAATAGAGTCTTATATAAGTGTATAAATATAAATACATTGTATTCATGAATAGAAGACAAACAAGTTATTCTCTCTGGTTACAATAGATAGAAATTAGACAACGCCTGTTAAGTAACGCGCATTCATGTCCTGCTTGTCATAATCTATTCTACCCAAGCTTGATTTGTGATGTAACTGAATTGAAGTATTGAAGCACAAGCAGCACTAATTTCTTCCACCAGAACTCGAAATAATCAATTTGACAGACACTTACCTTCAACTCAAAGCAGCGCCTATCACATGTATGCAATCTAAGACACTCATGTCTTCCAGTATATGCACATTTACCACAAATTTCTAGAGTTTGGTGAGTTCAGGAAATTTGTGATGCCCCAAATATGCGTGGGAGATATAAAGAACACGCCAATTAGCACAAGCAAAGGAAAGGCAAATAGACATTTAAAATTTTTGTTCACTGACCAATCCTAAATTAGCAGTTACTTTGAGGACCTTCAGCTGAGAGAAAACACAGGAAACCGGAGCCAATATATCATCCAAAATACGTGTGGCGTCCATAATGTCTACCTCAATCAGCATAGGAACATTCGAAAGCAATAATTTGTGTCCTGCTGAAGTCCCAAGCGTTACAAGGTTTGTATCCCGAATTTTAAGTGATTCTAAATCGGGGCAGGACCATATCCCCAAGTGTTTCAACTTGAGGGAAGGACCAACAACTTCCAAATTAACCAGCGTTGCCGCTCCACGAACCACCATTTCTTCAAGAAATGGACAATTGTGCAGGAAGAACTCAAGAACATTACCTGTCACTTTTACGGACTTCAATAACAGTACTTTTACAGAGTTAAAATTATTCCTAAGTGGTGGGAACTTGTTGACATTGTTCGGATGAGGNCACCATTTCTTCAAGAAATGGACAATTGTGCAGGAAGAACTCAAGAACTTCGCCTGTCACTTTTACGGACTTCAATAACAGTACTTTTACAGAGTTAAAATTATTCCAAAGTGGTGGGAACTTGTTGACATAGTTCGAATGAGTTTGACCAGCATAATGATTGAGATCAAGGAGTTGGGCCGGAAAAGTATAACAATAATCAAAAAGTCGAAGGTTCTCCCCACCTTTTAACAAGTCTAACTCTAGCCTTTGAACTTGCCTAGCAAAGGCAAACTCAAGCCACTTGTCAATCTCATGCTGGGCGAATTTGTTTAAATCGAAACAAACACGAAATTGGTCTAATCTCTGAGCTTTACACCTCTGCAAAGTATGGTTCACCCACCTCACATACTTCTTCATATGCCTTTTCCGAAGCTTGTGATCCAGTAATACTTCGTATAATGGTTTGGTAGCATCAAAATTAAGCCGAGAAATATATCTCCACAAGGGTAACCACTAACCAACGCTTGGAGAGGACACTGGTGTCTGCTGCTTCCTTAACGCCAAGGAAAGACAGTATATGTACCAGAATCTCATCAGGCAAACTGACTAATGCGATCCTCTGCAGTGCAAATTCGTTTTGAAAACTAGAATATAGAGAAGAAAAGCAGTTTCATCACATCAATCTATGAGAAAAAAAAATAGTAGCAGAAGTCTTGTAGCAGAAATTTGGATTACAAGTACAAATAGGTGGGAAAAGAGGAGTCTTGATTACTGTCTTTTTGTAGAGGTAAAATTGTGCAAAGATTTATTTTTAAAAAGAAAAAGGAGTTCAAGGTACAAGCGGGAAGAGCAAAAGACTAATATATAGATATTGAGAAGAAATTGAAACTAAAATATAGGAGTAGTAGTATTACCTGGTAAGCAAAGATTGCTCTTTTTCAATTGAAACAGATGCACCACTGCAGAAAGATTGCTCTCTTTCAATTTCAATGGAAACAGAGAACAAAGATTGCTTTTTTCAAAACGTATAGCGGCGGGTGGCTGTTATGGGTTCCAGAAAATCAGATCCGATTGAAACAACAGTGGTGACTGATGGCTCTTATGGGCTAGGCCCAACAGTTGCTCCGTCACCCCATCGGATTGGATTTCAGCTAAAAAACTTGCTTTTCGGCGGTCAAATTAATTTTTATGTCCCGCCTTGTTTTGTTTTTTTTTTTCGATTAGAAGGGCAATCTCAAATCTGCAATTCATATAGAAACTAGGGTGACATTTATGTTGGAATATATACCACAGCGGAAGCAATAGCAGAATTTTATTCACGTGTAATCTAAACAACTAGCACGTATGGAGATTTTAAGGTTACCTCTTGAAGCGTAAACACAACAAATCTATGTCGTTCTCCAGTTGCTCAGTTGATACCACACACCAGCAGATTTTCACAGTCTTCTACTGTGTTACCCAAACAATAACCGAAAATAGAGAATTTTGGGTGGGCAAAATTCTAGTAGAAACTGCAGTCAGAATCATTCCCCAAACGTCCAGCCCTTATATCCATATATATAGCTGCGTTTTTAGGTCAAAACCATGTTCAAAACCTGTTAGGTTTCCTTCTCCCACTAAGGGACGGTTTCCATGTTTTCTTTTCCACTAAGTAACAGTTTTCACTATTTTCTATTATTTAGGCACAGTAGGGACCACAGAATTTAATTAACAAGGCTTCTTATTATGATATTAATTTCGAAATTCTAAAATTAATTTCCATCATAATAAATTACGAATTATTCCACTAAAAATTCGTAATTGCACTCCTTAGTTCAATTTCGAAATTCTTCCATAAAACCTTATTTAACTCCCCATGTTAAGATTCAGATACTAATCAATCAAATTAAATTACTGACTATTTAATTTATTGATTACTTCCTTTAGACTTACACTTAACTTATTTCATGTGTCGGATACAAAATCCACCGGCCGGGTTTACACATGAAAACTTATAAGCTTTCATAAAGGAGTATCATCAATCTCAAAATTGAGACATGGATTCCATCAACTAATTATTACTTCGCCAATGTATATCATTGTTATCCAATTTACCAGGCTTATTGACTCGCGAAAGAATCTCGCCTTTTAATAAATCAAAACAACAAGTGACATACACAGCTAATAATAATTATATCAGGATTAAGAGTATAAGTACATTAAATGGACTAGAGAAATTATTTTATAAAGTCAGTATAAAATACTCATCTCTACTTGATCCGTTCAATACATACAAAATGTACTAGCACAAGAAGTTGGAATTAAACCATTCCCATAATCAAGATAAATTATATTTAATCTTGTGCTACAATCATTCCGATGATTTGTCCAATTCCATCATTAGATTGTGAACATTAACTTTTATGTCTTACAAGAACCGATGATTTAATCTTCCGTGTATAAGCTAAACTCTATACACTAAATCATCTACTATGTAAGCAATGGACGCACAAACCAACACATGATCTATTTAAAATGAAACTTTATTGAATTTAAACAAGTAAATAAATAATTGTTCATAAAGAATACTATAACAATACGCATGACTTATAGTATATTCTAACAATTTATGGCATATGGTTCAATTTAGACATCAATTAAAGGAAATACCCGCCAAGAAACCTTCTTGCTCCAATAGCATTCTTGTCCCCTACCGCCACCAAATTTCTAACCTCGACCATTTGCTCTTCACTTGTCTTAGCAACTCTCTTCGTTGCTTCAACCAACTCTAAGACACATGCATAAAATGCATAGAATATACTCATCAGATTTTATAAAACCAAATCTGCCCAACTTCATTAGTGCATTGACTGCATGACTTGAATTTTTCAATTCTTTATCTTTATTCATTCTTTTTTTGCATGTATATAGATCACTTCTCCTCGCTTCTGTATTCTATAAGACAACAGTTGGATAAATAAGACACGTATATAAGATTATCAAGCAACATTTTTCTTTTATGTTTAATTTGTACTTCATTTCAAGCTGTACTTTATATAGTATTCTACTTTTCATATTTTATATTTCCAACTTGGAGCAGAATGTCGAAGACTTCTACCAATCAACTTAGAACTAATATCTCAACAAAAATACCCTTATCCATAAGTCATGAAAGGTAGGCAAAGCTTGTCGTGTTCCCAAGTTTTAAACACCCATCATAACTTTGGTACGTGTGTTTATTCTACTCATCTTTGTTAATTATTCACAAGTTTTGACGACAATAACAACAACAATGTCTTAATGTATTCACAAGTGGGGTCTGGGGAGTAGGGGCGGATGCACGCTTCCTCAAGCGGTGTCATGCGACACCGCTTCGTCGGAAAATTTTACTAAATATATGTATTAATACCGTACGGAAACAGATAAGTAAGAAAAAATGATACCACTTGACATAAATTGTATCTTGGTGTGTTGGTTTTGTGCTTGATTTTGCTATAAGAGGTCAAAGGTTCAAACCTCAACTAGCACATTTTTCTTTTGTAAATATTTGAAAGAGCTTTTGTAGTTAAAAATTGTGATGAAGTAGAATTGAACGCAATTTTTTTTTTAACTTAAGACCCAACAAAACCAATAAATTAAGGTTATTTTTTGTCTAAAAGTATGATAATCAAAGTAATATTCTAGTTCTTCTATAAATTTCGACATCGCTTATAAAAATTCCTACATACGCCCCTGCTGGGGAGGGAGAGATGTACGCAGCCTTACCCCTATCCTGGACGGCCAGAGTGGATGTTTCCGAAAGACCCTCAGCTAAAGCAAAGATGAAAGAAGCACTAATAATAGTAATGACAAAACAAGATATTTAAAAAACTGAGACCAAGATAGCAAGATGCAAGATGAAAGAAGCACTGATAACAAGTAATACAATACAAGATATGTAGTAATAGCCATCTAAGGATAAAATAATACTATACTAACACTAATACTGCAGAAATAAGAAGGCAAGGGAAATACTAGACTGCCTACTAACCTTCTACCCTAATCCTCAACTTCTACACGCTCCTATCAAGGGTCATGTCCTCGGTTAGCTCAAGCTGCGCTATGTCCCGCTTGACCACTTATCCTCAAGACTTCTTTGGCCTACCTCTACCCCTCCTCTGACCCCCCAAGGACAACATCTCACACCTCCTGATTGGGGCATCTGTGCTTCTCCTTTTAAAATGCTCGNCCCCTCCTCTGACCCCCCCCCCAAGGACAACCTCTCACACCTCTTTACTGGTGCACTTGTGCTTTTCCTTTGAACATGCTCGAACTATCGAAGCCTCGCCTCTCGCATCTTGTCCTCCATGGAGGCCACTGCCACCTTGTCCATAATAACTTCGTTCCTAATTCTATTTAGCTAGTATGCGCACACATTCATCTCAACATCCTTATTTCAGCAACTTTAATTTATCTTCTGGATATGAAATTCTTGACTGGCCAGCACTCTGCCCCATATAACATAGCCGGTCTAACCATTACTTTGTAGAACTTACCTTTAAGTCTCAATGGCATTATTGCGTAAGACACCGAAAGCGAGCCTCCACTTCATCCACCCCGCTCCGATACGATGTGTGACATCCTCATCAATATCCCCATCACTATGAATCATAGACCACGAATACTTAAAACTCTCTCTCCTAGGAATGACTTAAGTATCAAGCCTCACATCCACAACGCTTTTTGGTTAACCCGCTGAACTTTCACTTCAAGTATTCTGTCTTGGTCCTGCTCAACTTGAAACCTTTAGACTTAAGGGTATGGCTCCAAACCTCCAACCACTTGTTAACACCACCTCGCATCTCATGAATCAAAACTATGTCATCTGCAAACAACATACACCAGGGCACCTCTCCTTGGATGTGTCGCGTCAATGCATCTATCACCGAGGAAAATAAAAAATGAAGTAAGTGTTGATCCCTGATGCAACCCCATCTCAACTAGAAAGTACTCTGAGTATCCTCATGTTGTCCTTACCCGTATCTTAGCTCCCTCATACATGTCCTTGACCGCTCTAATATGGGCTACAGGCACTCCCTTAGCCTTCAAACATCTCCATAGGACCTCTCACAAAACTTTATCATAAGCTTTCTCTAGGTCAATGAACACCATATGCAAGTCCTCCGATCTTGTGATATTCACAAGTTTTGATGCCCGTTATGTATATAGTACTACTGTCATTCTACCTATACTGTTAATAATAGCAGACTCAGGATTTTATTCAAGCGGGTCAATCGGACAATGTAACAATATTGCAAAAATAGTAGACAGTAGAGATTTCCGTGTATAACAAAGTGAATATTGTGTGTTGCTTGTTTTTACCATCATGCCCCTAAAAGTATCATTTCAGGTGTTTTTTTCTACATAAAAAGATGGTTAGACCAAAAAAATCCCTCTTCAAGAGTCATGATGACACCAAGACTAGGTAAGCCTAATGCATAGAGAGTTATTTAACAAATTTATACAAATCAACCATTTAACATGAACTAGAAATTTCTATACAAAGCCAACAACCATTAATAGATATACAATATCCCAAAATCGGTGGTACATGTCATAAGCTCTACCGAATTTTCTAACAAATCTCTAGGTACAATTGTTCTGGAATAGAAATAAATAGTACAAAGTAAATTTTAGAAGGTGACTCCGAGGCCTGCGAACGCGATGGCAGATATACCTTGAACTCTCCTCCGCAACTCACAATCAGCTAACTAATGACCAGCGTGCTCCGAAGTATCTGGATCTGTACAAAAATATGCAGAAAGTGTAGTATGAGTACACCACAGTGGTACCCAGTAAGTATCAAAACTAACCTCGGTGGAGTAGTGCCGAGGAACAGTCCAGATACCCACTAAACATAATAACCTATGTAAAACTTACAAGGAACAATATCAATATAAAGCTAAGCATGGTAAGAATAACAAAACAATACTTGCAATATAAAACTAGAAGCAACAATTAGCAACCAGGAACAACAAGTAATAATGTTGTAAAATAAGCAGAATACGGTTAAAGTCCGCCAAAACCATGTAAGGGAAAACATGTAACAACCCAATATAAAAATCGCTCTCACATAAGGTTTATACAAGAATTTCCTCGAGTTAACACACCTCATAATCACAATCACGAGTCCCAATTAACGAACCCTAATCACTTGGCATCTTGTGCCCATATTACAAATCTG